GAATAAATAAAAATAACTTTATATATATATATATATATATATATATATCAAATTAATGCATTTTTTATTTAATTAAAGTGTTTTTATTTATACCCATTATATATGCATTTATTTATTTAAAAGTATTTACATATTTATTTACTGTATATATAAATTTTTTGTCATTTCAGTTTTTCAGGATACATCACATTACGTCCTCTGTGTGTGTTCTACGTTATTTACCAGGAAACTAACACTACTACAGGACATTTACCTTTTGCCTAGTGCCTACATGTCTGATGGATGGCTTTATGACTTTATTCCTGTCCTCAGCGTCAGTGGGAGACTAGCCAATCAGATCAGAGCTCAGTAAGTGACCTCCCTCTCTCTCTCATGCCTTTCCTATCAGTTCCCCTCTGTATGTCACTTTGATCTTATTTCTCTTATTTCTCATGTCAGTATATAAGAAGCTGATCAGAGGTTCACAGATCAAGTTGTGACATGGTAATATCTCAGCTTACCCCGATTGTATTCATTAATTCTCTATATCATTCATTTTTTTAAACATTTTTTTCTTAAGAGCTCATTCAATTTAATATTTATGTTGCGTAAACACGCTTATGAAAGCTACAGAGTCATAGTTAAAGAACTGTCCACAAGGGGGCGTTTTGTTATGAATGACTCCTCACTTACTGTAGGGTCTGAATCATTTAAGCTATCTATTTTAAGTGCTTTATTGAATCACAAAACACAAATTTCAGGATAATCTAAGATTAATTTAGATATCTGTAATGTTTTAGATTGTACTAAAGGCTACAGCCAAGTAATATAAAATGTTTTAATGTTTTAAAGTCTCTTCTGCTCACCAAGGATTCAATTTGAAATAGAAATACGTAAATATGTAAAATAAATGTGATGGCATTTAATGTTTTATAGATAATACATATTGTCAATATGCTAATAATCTACATGTCAGTGTCTGAGCAAAAATATGAAATGATCTTGATGCTGCAACCACATTTTACATATGAACTACTACAATAATTAATGAAATCACAGTGTTTTAGGGAAAAAATCTAGTTGTTGTTTTTACATATGAACTTTAATTACATTTAATCCAGTGAAACAAATGATGCACCTACAACCACCCAAATGTTTTTATTTTTTAAAAGGCCTGTGCTAATTCAAGCAAAGGTCAAAGGTCATCAATCCTCAGGCACATGCTTTTGGATGGCATGATGTTGTGTCCTGTTGTCGGCTGGCACGTCTGTCTCAGAAGCTGATAATGCCCAATGAGACCAAAGCCATTCATGGCATTCATGGGTAAATGCCCCTGGCAGGCTCTGTAATCTTCCTGTCTGATGCATGTCTAGTATAGCTAGGATAAGCTGCAATATGGAGTCTATAGTCAATATAAGCATTTTCAAATGCTGAATTTATGCCCAAATGATCAGTCCCTCTCACATGAGCAGTGGTGGAGCAGCATTCCAGGATTTGGCCCCGCGCCGAACGCCATACCTACGGCTCCATGCTTTTTGCCTGCCATAAAATTTCAGAGGGTCTGGATGTTCACGGTGTGCGGGCCGCTCGCTTTCTAGCGCTCTGTGCCCACGCCAGGCAGCTAAATTCAGCATTAGAGCTGCACTGACTAGGGAATGAACCCCGCAGCAGATCTGGGCGATAAGCACACTCCTGCTGCAGCTGCCTGATGCTAAAAAACAAAGGAAACATAGAGCGGGGTCCAGAAGTCTGGGACTCCCAAAGAAAATTGTACTACAGTACTGCATTTTTGCATTTTTATAATTTAATTTAGATTTTTTCCCCATTATTAATTATATTATCAAGATAAAAAATTATTATTTCAGAAACATCACATATTATTATTTCATGATATTATTCATATTATTAAGTTTTATATCTCTGACAGATATAGACCATTACACCAACAAGGACTTTATTGACATTGTATTCTAAATACATAAACATTATTATGGATGTTACATTATTTTGCTTACTGTGTTTACCGTGGTAAACACGTACTGAAGTTGCGTTTGTTCTCGTGTGTATCGCGTGACTTTTCAGTTTCAGTTTTCTAAGTAGTAAGGTGTGACCAAAGCCAGGTAAAGTACTTGTTTACTGTGTTTTCAAGTACTTGTTAGAAGAAGCCGTCGAGCAACAGAAGAGGACAGCAGCTTGTAAGTGTTTTGTTTCTTTTCTCATTCGATTTCAGCGTGGCTGTAGTTGCTAGGAAACATTGTTTTGCTTACTGTGTTTACCGTGGTAAACGCCTGCTGAAGTCGCATTTGTTCTCATGCATATCGCGTGTCTGACAGACATTCCTGGCTGGATGAAGGGCCATCACCTTCAACTCAACCTTGCTAAGACACAACTCCTCGTGGTCTCAGCCAACCCAGCACTTGGTCTCAGCCAACCCAGCACTTCATCACAACATCTCTATAGTGAAAGTGAAAGTGAAAGTGACGTGACATGTGGCCAAGTATGGTGACCCATACTTGGAATTAGTGCTCTGCATTTAACACATCCAAAGTGCGCACACACACAGCAGTGAACACACACACACTGTGAACACACACCCGGAGCAGTGGGCAGCCATTTATGCTGCGGTGCCCGGGGAGCAGTTGGGGGTTTGGTGCCTTGCTCAAGGGCACCTCAGTCGTGGTATTGAAGGTGGGAGAGAGCACTGTACATTCACTCCCCCCACCTACAATCCCTGCCGGTACGAGACTTGAACCCGCAACCTTTGGGTTACGAGTCCGACTCTTTAACCATTAGGCCACGACTATACAGCTAGGTTCGTCAACCACAACTCCTTCCAGGACAGTCAGGAACCTTTGAGTTGTGATTGATGATCAGTTCCTATCAGAGCAGGCCACACAACTCCTTGTCCAAGCTCTTGTTCTCTCCAGACTGGACTATTGTAATGCTCTCTTGGTGAGCCTTCCCGCATGTACTATCAAGCCTCTGCAACTGATCCAGAATGCAGCATCGAGAGTGGTCTTCAACGAGCCGAAGAAAGCTCACATCACACCTCTCTTCATTAGTTTGCACTGGCTGCCAATAGCCACTCGCAACAAATTTAAGGAACTGATGTTTGCCTATAAGACAACTACAGGCTCTTCACCAATATACCTAAACTCACTAGTTCAGACTTATGCGACCTCCAGAAGCTTGCGTTCTGCAAGTTAACCATGCCTCATGGTGTCATCCTAAAAATCGCTCTCATGGATCTTTTCCTGGACTGTTCCCAGCTGGTGGAATGACTTGCCTATCACAATTCAAGCAGCTGAGTCATTTTCAAAAAACATCTAAAGATATCTTTTTCGTCAGCACCTGACCAATTAATACCAGCACTTAACTATTCTATTCGGTTCGGTTTTTTCTAATTTATAAAAAAAAAAAAAAAAAAAAAAAAAAAAAAAAAAAAAAAAAAAAAAAAAAAAAAAAAAAAAAAAAAAAAAAAACTTGCTATGTGTACTGTGCTAGACTAACTGAGACTTGTCACATTACTTGTATACTGTTGCTATCTTGTTAGTCTGATTGCTTCTATTGTTCTCCTCGTTTGTAAGTCGCTTTGGATAAAAGCGTCTTCTAAATGATTAAATGTAAATGTACATGTAAATGGTCCCACCTTTGCATCTATATCAGCTTCTACTCTTCTGGGAAGGCTTTCTACAAAAATTTGGAGTGTTTCTGTGGAAATTTTTTGCCCATTCATCCAGTAGAGCATCTGTGAGTTCAGACACCAATGTTGGACAAGAAGGCCTGGCTTGCAGTCTCAGGGCTCTGCGTAGGCCAGTTAAGGTTTTCACACCAAACTCATCCAATCATATCTTTATGGACCTTGCTTTGTGAACTGGGACACAGTCATGCTGGAATAGAAAAGGAATAGAAAACTGTTCCTACAATGCTGAAAGAAAAGCATTGTCCAAAATATCTTGGTGTGCTGAAACATTAAGAATCACCTTCTCTACCTTCTATCCCAACCCCTGAAAAACAGCCTCCTAACCATTATCCCTCATCCACCAAACTTTACAGTCAGGTAGGTAACATTTTCTTGGCATCCACCAAACCCAGACTTGCCCATCAGACTGCCAAACATAAAAGTGTGATTCACTCCACAGAACAGGTTTCCACTGCTCCAGAGTCCAGTGGTGATGTGCTTTACATCACATCCATAGCTTGGCTTTGTACTTGATTATTTGAGGCTTGCATGCAGCTGCTCAGCATGGAAACCCATTCAGTGAAGCTCCTGCCACAGTTTTTGTGCTTATATTAATGCCAGTTGAAGTTTGAAGTAGTTGAAGTAGTAGAGCATTGGCGACTTTTACACACCATGCATCTCAGTGCTCTCTGGCACTCTGGCAGCTCCAGCAATGAGCTGTCTTTGACTAAGGGCGTAATTTTGAAAGCGTTTTAATCATGCGTCTCACGGGAGATCGACGCAGCTTCTATGCGCGAAATCGCAAACCCGCACAGCAGACACCACAACCCTCCAACCCCTCAATAATCCTTCACAGTTAATGCATCAAATGGGACGATGCGCCAACAACACCCCCGACTTTAAGACCATGACACCCACTTACACGTGTTCAGATGGACGGGCCAAACACACTGCGGGGGATTTTATGTTCGTCTTGCTTTTTTCATGGGGCATTTTGTTTTTTCGTTCGCTCCGTGACATTTGTTCTTGCAGCTGAACATGTGGAGCACAATTTCTTGTTTCTTCCAGGACGGTGCAGCTGTGGTGCAAATGATACTTAATCCATTTGCTTTGGGAGGATTAGGCTGGTACAGTGTGTGTGGAGTGGATGCAGGGGGTTCAAGCTACCCCATGGGTCATATTAACCCTACACAACCAAAAGTCCTCACGCACCCCTGGTACTTTCTTTTGACATGGACTTAGAAGTAGGCCATGAGTCACGGACTGACCATTAAGCAGAGAAACAGAGTTTTCGACAGGCTAATTGGCCTGTTGTTTGAAAGCACATTCATAATAGCGAAGAATGTTGCTTGTGTATAATAAGCGGCTGTGTTACAGGATATTGCATCATTTTGTCTTTTCTCACATTATTATCTCTTTATCCGCAGGATTTTTATTGTCAAATGTCATAGGAAATTTTGTAGAATTCAGTTCATGGGTTGGAATTTAAACTGGCTGCATCCCACAGGAAGTTAAACTGGAATGACAGGAAGTAAATTGTAATATAGTGCATTAGTGCTCGCCCACTTTTTTTAGCGGCGTTGGTTTTGGAACTTTTTTTTTTTCATACATTTTTCCCATAGGGTTTAAAAAAAAAAAAAAAGCTTTGTTTAAGATTGTTAAACCACAAACCAAACCAACCAGCTATGAGGTGAATCACAACATTACAAAACTTTGGTTTGAAGCAAAAAAAGTATTTGAAAATCGGAAGACAAAGGTAAAAGTCTGTGTACTCAATGGCTTTAGTAAAACTATTCAACGACCTCAGAGTTCACAGTAGGTCTGTCTTTAATGGTTTATAAGTAATTGTTAAAAATCAATTTCCATTTTTTTACTTCCAGACCACAAGTGTTGTACTAAAACCAAGAACCAAGTTAGCATTTTCGAACTTCCAGTTTAATTGTGCTGAAGTCAATTGCTTTTTCTTAAATGGGGTTTTGATTAAATGCCTGAAATAAGGCCAGTGGCGAACACAAGCTCAATATATTTTTACATTTTATTCTACAACATAATATACATAAGTAATAACCCTTGTATTTTTTTTACCTTTTACTTGTCTTGAACAAGGCAGTTGCTAACAAGTGGCTAAATGGGACTAGAGGTTGTTGACATTAATGATATTTTGCATAATCTCAGCAAACAGGTAAAACTCATCTACACAATAGTCCACTTTCACAGTCTCATTGTGTTTATAATTGTGCTATACTCAAACTTTCAGGGAAAATGAAGGCTGAATAAAGACTGAAAGAGTTGACGAAAGCATAATGGTGGTGATGTTGAAGTAGTAATGTAGTTCATTTATAGCCTACATTTAGTTTTTACCTCTGACAAATACAGAGTTCTGGCATGAAACTCTAGATGGCACAGTCCGATAGGTCTAACTCAATCTGACGTAATGACATCATTATCACATGGCTCAGCTGATTGGTTCTCTCCCGTATCGGTAGCCAATGAGCTCGCTGCTCACTTGCTCTGCCGCAGCAGCGTAGCAGATCTATTCCGCCAAGACCGAATACATTAACATTGTCATGTACATTACCATGCCAATCCCTCCGAGAGTTGTCATGACAGAATTATATTTAGGCTTCAAAATTCATAAAAGTTGTGTTTATTTGTGAAGATTTTCGTGATTAACAAAAATCTTAACTTTTGATGGCCACAGAGTGCAAAAATCGAAAACAATTGAAAAATCCTATTGCTTTTCATTGAGGTGACCAGGGTAATGCTAGTGAGTTGATCTCCAAAAATATGTGAAGACTTTCAACAGATAATGGAATTCTGGGAAAGTAAGTAAGTATTCTTCCAACTTGGTCTATAAAACTTGGTCTATAAAACAGTCCATCTGTGTGCACGGCCTTTAAAAACTTCAAAATTCAACACTTGTTAACATAAAAAATGTTAACTTCCAAACAACACAGCCAACTCAACATTCAAAGTCTGCCTTAAACTTTTTTTTTTGTTTTTGTTTTTTGTTAAAAGTTGATACTTGAGGCCATATACAATTATTTATTTATTTATTTAAATTATTAGGACCCACCAATGTTTTTAGTTGAGTTCAAATTGGAAGTAAACAACAGACAAAACAAAACAAATTAGCATGTGGACCAATTTTTTTTTACAAAATTTTGTCTTGAAATTTGCGCTGCTGTCAATATAATATAATAGGACTATTTCATTTTGAGGATTACTTATTTATTTATTTCCATAAAACATAAAACAAAACAAATTAGCATGTGGGCCAATTTTTTTTTACAAAATTTCGTCATGAAATTTGCGCCGCTGTCAATATAATATAATAGGACTATTTCATTTTGAGGATTACTTATTTATTTATTTCCATAAAACTAAGTGCCTAGATGATTTGTTCATTATGCTTCCAATTCTGAGAAAATTTAATATTAATATTTTTATTGTGAGAAATAGAGTGAAGTTGACATTCACTGATTGATGGTTTCATTTAATAACAACTTAATTTTTTCCCCCTCACATAAAGCTATCATATGGCTTCAGAAGACTCAAAATATAGTGCTCAAGATGCTTTTGTGACTTTTTGGATGCTTGACTGACATAAAACTGACTTTATATGATGTGCAGCTGCATGAAGATTCTTTAAAATAACACATCATTTTGGAGCAAAATGAGAGATGATATAACTTAAATTTCTTGCTTAACTAGTCCTTTAAATTGGGAAGATGTACAGAAGAAGTTGATCCCTGAAAGAAACTCCAGCTCATGTCAGAAGAGAGTTTGGATGAGCACTTTGAAGTACTACATTTCAGCGGTGGCATCAAGCATGGGATGGGGCTCAACATTCTCTCTGCTTCTATCATGGACGTGAATCATTTTAATACACAGAATATATTGATTTCCACAGGAAGACGTTAAACCCCCTTGAAAATTGTGTAGGTAATTCGAGCCCTCGCAGCAGAGCGGCAGGATTTCTGCAGCACTGAAAGACTTTTGTGTGCACATGTTGCTCCCTTCGCACTTGAAATCTGCATGCCGTGGCAATCGTGTGGTCCTTTACCAGTTACTCTCTCTCCACTGATGTTGTGCCATGAGTTAGCGTGATGAATGCTGCCTGGTACTTTAGCGACAGCTGCAGCAGGTGAATGCCAAAGTTTCGCTTTGATTCCACCTTGCCTCTGATGCTCCATTTCAGATTGAGTCTATGAGACACCAATGTTTCTTGTCAGGCTGCCAAAGCTAACATGGTCAAGAAAGAGTTCACCTCAAAATGAAACGGTTCTCATTTTGTCATGATTTACTCATCCTCATGTTGTTTCTTTCAGGATTGGTTTCTTCTGTGGAACACAAGAGAACATATTTTGAATAATGTTCATGCTGCTTATTTACACAATTAAACTAAAAATTATAATATTATTTCTGCAAAATTATATTATGTTGTGCATTTTGCAACACTTTCAAAGTGAAATGAAACAGATGAACTTGTATCTAGTAACATTGTATTACATTGGTTGTTGTATGTATCGCGGTGCTAAAAGCGCTAATCATGTTTAAAAATAACATACCACCTACATTACAATACAAACTCTACCCTAAACTTAAAAGTTGGTATTGACAAAACCAAATGTAAGATAAAAACACATTTGCTGACCATGTAATTTCAATTTACAAGCTCTTTTATCAATTGTCATGAATCATGTTTCACGGGACTCGTACCGAAGCGCTCGGGATCACAAGTGCAATGCTGCACCAGGTGCGCTATCGAGCAAGTTTACTACAGCAGAAAAGCCATACATATGGAGCTGTTTATGTGATGCAAACATCAAAATGTATAGTCTACAAATCATGCACTATGGTAAAAGTGTTTTGAGGTCATAGCAGAGTATTGTGCAAAGAACTGCATGACAACAAATCTGTTATTTTATAATATCCCGCTGTAATCATAATTTGTTTGAACAGGAATTAAAGTTGTTGGTGTTTTACTGCCACTAATGTTCACTTCAGCTGGACTCTGCAGTAAATTCTATGTAGAAGTACTTTTTGGAGTTTTGCAAAAGGCCACAGTAAATATAAAGTCACATTTACTGTTGTTCTGTACAAACACAAAAAGGGGGTTTTCACAGTAATGCCACAGATGAACCATTTTTGGTTCCCCAAAGAACCTTTAAGTAAACAGTTCTTAAAATAACCTTTTTTTCTTAGTGCAGAGGACATTTTTAATGATTTAAAGAAACTCTTCCACTATAAAGAACCTTTTGTGCAATGGAAAGTTTCCATGGATGTTAAAGATTCTTCATGAAACCACTGTTGCCAAAAATACATTTTTAAGAT